ATCTGGTTCAGTTTATGGTTCAAGATTGATCATTGAAAATATGATTTTCTAAATAGGGAATGCGATTCCCAGTTGAAGGGAGAGATAAATTTTTTGAAATTCGCCTCTTATTCCGCAATCTTTGGGCGTCCATAGGATGGATCTCTCATCCCTTCACAATGCTACTTTGATACTGCCAATTTGTTTTTGTAATGTGGGCAGATTAAAGCTGACTGACTATACTTTGTATAGTGACTTTTGTATATGAGCATATGTGTATATTTTCACTAATTGAAATATACAATACCTTACCATTTTCTCAAAAAAAAACCTGTCTTTCTAGAAAAGGAAAAGGGAAAATTATAGATATAGAAGGCTTCCTAGTTTAGTAGCCAATGGAGGACTACCAAATGAAGTGATTATATGAATTTTCTTTCATTTAAAATTTCTGTCCACAAGGTCCTCTAGTTAGTTCTCACCTTGCAACTATGCTATTAGTGACTCTTATAGATAATTTTACCCTTTTAAAGGCGCACCCTAGCATACCCTTGTAACCATTCACTCCTTCCACTTTTCTTCTCATTATTTCTTGGGGTGGGAGGTGAGGTGAACTTGTGCAGTATTTATCCTCCCACACACATACAAAATCTTGACTTTCTCAAGCTCATTTTGAAAATTTTTATCAAGTGCGAGAAATTCTGTTATTGTTGAACCTTGGTCTTTTGAGAAGTGGGGTAAATTGTGTCTGTTTTAGTTATTTATTTGATTTGGAATTTATTTTTAACTTCAACCTTTCCCTTACAATTAAAAGAGACTAATTTTCTTTAGAAATTCTTACTTTGTCATCATGTGTCATGATTTCAGATTGTCAGTGGAGAACCTGTTTTTGAAGCATGCTGCAGAGCAAACATTGGTGGATACCATGTCACTGACTACTTGAAGCAGCTTCTTTCTCTTAAATACCCCAATCACATGTAAGTAAATACATTTCTATGTTCTTACTTTACAGGAACAGGGACCTTATTTCCTTGGTTGAATTTCTGTTCATGTTTAATATTTAAATTACCAATAAAAAATGTTTTTAATATGGACATACATAGGCCTAGCATTACATGGGAGAAGGTCGAAGACCTGAAGATGGAACACGGTTATGTAGCTCTGGATTATACTTCAGAAGTTCGGTTATTTCAGGTAGGGCTTCACTTTCACTCCACTTGTATTGTTAAAGAAGACTGAGTTTCAAGTATTACAGTTTTCATGACAGAAAGGAGGGAAGGAAGCTGAAGAGAAAACAAGATGTTGGCAACTTCCATGGATTCCTCCTCCAACTGAAGAGCCACCTTCAGAGGAAGAGATTGCAAGAAAAGCGGCCATAAAAGAGAAGCAAGGTCAACGTCTGAGAGAAATGGCTGCAGCAAAAAGGTCTTCTAGAATAAATGAGTTGGAAAATGAACTCAATGGTTTGGAATTTCTTATGAAGCAGCTTGAAAACGTGGAAGAGAATGACATTCCAGCTTTCCTGTCTGCGACTGGCTATGTATCCAAGCAGGAAATCGAGTCTAGTATTGTTAAGGTATCACAATCTTTACGAAAAGCGAAGGGAGAACAGGTTGAAAATGAGGATAAACTGGAGTCTTCTACTTCTGAGAAGTATCCTCTCATTAATATTCCTGACAATATGCTGTCACCAGAGCAGGTATTATTATGTTAAATGGCTACAATTATACTCATAAATTTTCTGCTGTTGCACTTGATTTTGAGTCCAATTATGATACTGAAAGGGCACAACACCTAAAAAACTAATAACCAATCAACCAGTATCATAAAAGTGGTAGCCAATCAGCTGGTATTCATCAAAATTCACTGGAGGTTTTCTGATTGGTCAAAGTTCTGGTATCATACCCTTCTGGTATCATAGAAAGTGCCCTTGATTTTATAGATGATTTATAGAATTGGCTCTTCATGTTTTTATTACCAAGCATCATTCATCATCTAAGCCTTATCCCAACTATATGGGATTGGCTACATGAATCCTGTTTTGCCATTCTGTTCTTTTTAGTGCCATATCCATAATCCATTGTTAAAATATAAGTGCTTAAATCATTTCTTATTACTTCAACCATGTCCCTTTTGGTCTGTGCCCCTAGCCCTTCTAGCCCCCTCAGCTTGCAACAGTGCTTCTTCTTACAGGTGTTGTAGAGCGTCTTCCATGCATGCAACTAAACCAAGAAATCACTATTGTGTACCAACTATCATGGGGAATATCCAATTCCATCAGGAACTCTACCATTACTTATAAACACCTAATATGATATATGTTGCTTATCTGGTCTGAAGTATCAAAACCTTTACCTGAGCTTGTTGGATTAATCCATGGGTCATCATGGATTTTCTTCATTGCCATGTTTCTGCATCAATTTCCACGTATTTTTAGCTGTTCTGCACTTATCATGTTGTGCCACCTTAAGCCCTGTTGAATGAGTTCTTTCATTTTGCAGCTAAAGGAAAAGAGGAAACAGTTATTTCTCAAGACAACATCTGAAGGCCGTCAGCGTGCAAAACAGAAACGCTTTGAGGAGGAGCTACAACGAGAAAGGCAAAATCAACAAGATGAAGAAAAGCGCTTGTATGCTATTAAATTATAAATTATGGATTTAGGCAGTTCCACATTGTTCAGAAGCTTTTCATTCTTAATCAATCAGTACCCTGCAGTTTCAAATAAGGCTCTGTTTGTTTCATTGTAAAAGGGTTGGGGATTTTTTTTTTGTCTGAATTATTGCAGCTATATTTTTCCCCTTTTCTTAAAAAAAACTAAGTTATCTGTCCCTTTTACATGGAAACAGAGACAACAAGATAAAATAACAAAAAAAAAGGGGAAAACAAAACAAACAAAAATAGTGTATTCTTGCTTCTGATTTTGAGTTTTATTTGTGGTGAGTGCGCTATCCATTCAGGAGCACCTTTCATAATGAGCTCTGTTAAAATAAACCAACGACAATTCCAGTTCCATTACTGTTGGATCCATAGGCTGAAACCTTTATGCACTTAGGAGCAACTTGAGTCCCTTCTGACATTTTCCTTTCACAAGCCACTAGATATCTTATATTAATATAATATCCTTAGGAGAACCTAGGCCTTGGTAACTTTTATTCACTAGGACACACTTTATCAAAACTCTAGTGAAGGAGTTGGTCTAAATGCTTTATGCAATCATTGCATGACATTCATTTGATATTCTCCTGTCTTTGTGTAAATGTAGAGAGAACCCAGAGCTGTATTTGGAACAGCTACGCACAAAGCATAGAGAGCTCTCAGAGAAAGTTGAGCAACGGAAGCGGCTGAAGGCAAATGGAACGCGTACAAATGGGAATCAGAATTTGTCAGGAGGTGTTGGCCGTGGTGAGAGGCTGAATGCCGCACAGAAGGAAAGGATGCGCCTTTTGACAACAGCAGCCTTTGATCGAGGGAAGGGTGAGGACACATTTGGAAGCAAGGATGAAGACTGGCAACTATACAAATTAATGAGCAGAGATAATGACGATGATGATGATGGACAGGAGGAGGATGAGGCTGAACTAGCCCGTGTCACTTCTCGACTCCAGGTCAGTTCATTTTACTGTGGTGATTTTCATCAATCCAACTGCCAATTCCTTTTATAATCACTTCCTGATTCTGTTGCTCTGGTGGCTGACACTGCATAGCTGGGATGATTATGGGTAGTAAAATTTTCTTTTCTCATTCATATCCTTCCGTGACATTACTGTGACAGGATATAGACCCAACTTTTGTTGCGAAATTGGATGTTGGTCCCTTTCAACCACTTACTGAGGCTCCACGGTTTCGTCCTCTCACCAAGGAAGACTTCCAGATCATAATTGGTGTTGAGAGGTTCCGATGTCCTGAAATTCTGTTTCAGCCAAACATGATTGGGGTTGACCAGGCAGGGCTGGATGAGATGGCTGGAATTTCAATACAAAGGTTGTCTGTGAAGGAGAATGGGATTGAGGACAGAATCACCAATTCAATCCTTGTGACTGGTGGGAGCTGCCTCTTTCATGGAATGACTGACCGCTTGGAAGCTGGGATCCGAATGATCCGTCCTTTTCAGTCGCCCATAAGAGTAGTCCGGGCATCTGATCCTGTTCTTGATGCATGGCGAGGTGCTGCTTCTTATGCTGCTGCTCCACTATTCTTGAGGCAGACATTTAGTAGGCAGGATTATTATGAAAAGGGTGAAGATTGGCTTCGGAGATATCACATAAGGTACAGTCTGTGATCACTTACTTAAACAACATTACAGAAGGTTATGTGGAAACACTTTAAAAAGTGATCTGCATACCCACCATCTTATCCTCTCACCATTTTCCATTTTGTGAAATATGAATATGCTAAACCTGATGCTTCTTCCTTGGGTCGGCAACTTAGAGATATGGCTTACTGAATTTTCCTTCATAGGTTATTGAAAATTAATAGATGCTAATTATTGTAGTTTTGCTTTAGATTTACCCAGTTGTTTTCTCATACAGCTATAAGCCTATGATAATTATAGTTTTAACTGGATTTTTTGTATGAACACCGCCTTCTTATTACTGTAAGGAGAATTGGCTTCCAATATTGGGTTCAAGGGAACCAGAATCATTACGAGCTTTTATCTCCTGACGTCCTCTTAACATGCACCCTGTCAATTATACATTAGTGAGCAGTTGATAATTTATAAAACAATAAAGCCCTTTAATTGCTCATTCCTGCATCCATTGTGCGTGCTGAAGTCTGAACTGTGTTCTTGACCATGACTTGCACTATTGTGGCCCGTTGCTGTTGGTTGGAATTTAAGACTCACCATAATAATACGAGATATTAGAATCCAAGTTAGGTGCCATTGTGTTTTTTTTTTTTTTTTTTTTTTTGTGGTTGCGTTTTAGGATTGCAGGACGTGTATAAACTGTTATATTGGGGAATGCTTCATCTTGGTTCACAGGGGAGTAATCAACCCTGGACTAAAAGAGTGCCAATCCAATGGTTGGTCATCAGAAGAAAACCCGTTTTGACTTTGTCCGGCACATTTTTGATTTTATAGGCGCAGGAAAGAGGAAAAAAATTCCATGCTTTGCATTGCAAACTTGCAACCATGGAAATGACGTCATGCTTTGTTGATTTGAAGTTTCTAATGGGCTGATAGAATACGTTTAGGTTCGTTGACTATGATGTTCGGAGACATTTGAAAGGGATACTTCGTTTTCCTTAAATAAGCTATGATGGCCTGTGTTAAAGGTGAGACCATTGCAAATCATGACAGATTTTTTACAGGGTTATCTCAGTTTTCCTTGCAGAACTGGAGCTGATCTAATGGTTTGAATGGTTTTCTGCATTGCTTGTGGCCAGAATGGATTATTTATGAATAGTGTATTATATTTGTGTTGCAAATCATTTACACGTATGGCCAATACCTCTAACCCAACGAAAATTGACCTTTGGTCCTGTGATTTAGTCATTAGAGGCGTCACTTTTACCCAATGTTGGTCTTGCCTGCACTGGGTAATGGGAGGGTGGACTGGATATGGAGTCGGACCTTAACCTTCAGCATTTTATTGCACTAAATTCTTGTAAGCGTTGACAACTGTGTTCCATTGACCTAGTTCAAGAAACCCATTTAGATTATAATCAAGTTGAATCTGGCTCCACCCCAATCTGATTAAACTATGATATTAGTATGGTTGTGAATGTATTTACTTATTTATTAAAGTTGGTCTAAATATCCTATTTTCATGTGAAGGTTCATACTAATAGCAGTTATTTTTAATTTATTTTATCAATAAATATTATATTTTGGCCAATTTTAATATACTTTATTAATGACTAGTGTAAGAGCACATGCAAGAAAGTATTGACCATATATGATATATGGTATTTGGATTTAGCTTTTATGACCAATACAAAACCCAATCCATGTATCCACGGATATTTGAATTAAATCTGATTAAAATCAAAATATAATATTAAATCTATTTCAAATTTAAATATTTAATAGTTTTGACTTCAAATCTATGTATATCTCATACGAATCCATGAATCCAACACATTTAGAACCCTAGTGGCTGCTCTCAAATTCGAATCAATGTTCTCATGCCTGTCTTGTTATCAAGATGTTACCACTACATCAAGCAATGCTCCATTCTGGATTTCCATTATATACAACTTAAAAATAAAATACAAGATAACAAAAAATGTAAAAGAATTGTAGTCTAAATAAAAAGTTTAGAAATAAAGACACACACACACAGTGTATAATGTTATGCCATGTCAGATGGCCTTTTTGTGTTCCATTATCTAAACCGAGCAATTCTAAAAGGGAGGGGGTGGGGGTGCAAGATTCTCTCTAGAAGCCCATGGAGTTTCCACCTAGCATGGCAATCTTCCTTTTTATTTTAGGAAGAAAACCCATTAACTTAGGAAATCTTTTCCTATAATCTCTCTCTCTCTCTCTCTCTAATTTTTTCCTATAATCTCTCCCAATCCACACAAATGGAAACTTGCCTAAAACCTAGTCCTTCCAAGTTTCCACTTGGCAGCCTTTATCTCTCCAACCTAAAGTTCCTCCTAAAACAACTCTTAATCTATATTACATTCCCAATAAAGCAACTAAAACCAAAAACAAAATGCGATTAAATTAATTTGGGTAGTTAAATTAATTGGTGAAATATTTTTAATATTTTCAATAATTATTGAATATTATTCAATAAATATCAACACTTAAACTATATTTTTTTTTTGTAATTCTGGTAAATTGGAGAATTTTAATTACTAAAAATTACTTATTTTGGTAATTTAATTTCAGAATTTTTTGAAAAATAACTATTAAAATCAATAATTATTGAAAATTGATAATTAATTAAAATATTAATAAATACAAATTTATTAATTAAAATTTATTGGTAATTTTCCATTGAAATTTTTATTTCAATAACTATAAATTTATTTATTTTTTACATTTTTAGTATTTTTGATATTATCATTATTTTTTAGCAATAAGTAGTTATTGATATTTTCAGTAATTTAAGTCAATTTATTAATATTTAATGATAATATCAAATAATAATTAGAAATTTTTAGTGGAAAATTTATTTCAATAAATATACATCTATTTTTATATTTTCAGTAATTTTGATATGTACTATAATTTTGGTAATTTAATTATTAAAAATTACTGATTTTGGTAATTTAATTTATTGAAAGTTAAATTATAAAACTTCCAATTGTCCAAATAAATAATTGGAAAATTTTAATAATTTCCATAATTATTTGATACTACATTTATAATTACCATAATTATTGGAACGTTTATGGGTTTGGGGGATGACCCCCTCGGGTAGGAATGGCAATGGGTGGGTTTGAAGCAGGGATCATACTCCTCATCCTGATCCCGAGTTTTAAATTAATTCCCATCTATGACTTTGATCCCCATTGGGAAAAAATTAACTTGCATCCCCAATCCCCAATGGAGATGGGTTTCCCATCGGGGACTTGAATCCCCAAAATTTTTAATTAAAAGTTTGTTTCTAGAAAGGTATTTACTAAAATAAAGGAAAATTAATATGCAAATAATATTTTAAATATATTTTGAAGTATATATATCTATATAATATAAATAATATTATATATATATATTTAATATAATATATACACATATATTTAATATATATAATCGAGGTCTAGGCGAGGTGTGGACTTCACTCCCCCTCCCCATCCCGGTCCCAAATCGGGTATTCCTATTAATCCCATCCCCATCTTGGTCGGGGAAGCCAGATACTCGACGAAGATGGGGAAAATTGCCATCCCTACCCTTTGGTTGTGTAGCCCCATAGAGCAATAAGTTTTAAGCCCAATAAACCCTAACATCTTTTTCCTATGCATCACATAGGGCTCTGCTAGTTAGAAATAAAATTATAAGATAAATCTATGATGCTACAAAGGTATGCTACTGGAAGAACTTTGGCCACTCAAAGCCCATATGGATTATGACGAATACCACCTGATTGGTTATATGATCAAAGTCCCCCGTGAATTTTATGATACCAATTGATTGATTATAAGTTTTTTCTGGTACTATGGTAGAATCCCATGTTTATATGATTACAATAAAAAAATCTCTATTTATTCTCCTTTTAGTTTCTAATTGCATATCCAAACATAATATGATATTACTGAAGTTCAATTCAGAAATTATCTTTCTTTCTGCAAAACCAATAATTCAAAAATTACCCAAAACATGGCTTGTTAATTCGTTGTGAAGTCATATTTTTTGTACATTTGCCCCTGAAAACAAAAGATGCCCTAGTTTTTTGAGAGGGAAAGGGGGGTGGGGAATTGGTTAATCAAATTCTCATTGACCAAGAAACCCATGTTTTTCTTTTTAAGATTTATGTAGGGACTAGGGAAAGTTTATTTTCCTAGGAGAAAGTTACAAACACTTGAGTGAGAAAGAAATATCCCTTTTTAATAATAAATTTTTATGGCTAAAATAGTTATTGCCTTATTTACTTGGGAAATAAAAGAACATGGGTAAATGCAGGGGCATTAATAGGGTAAGTAATTTACTGAAAGCAAACGGGGCATCAGAAGAGCAAGTAAAAACCTTCTTTTAAGAGATGTTTATGGTTATAATAGGAATTTAATTGAAACTTTCTTCCCCCGCCCTCTTTCTCCAAATGTCCTCTTTCTTCATCCTTAATTCTATTCCTCATCTTTGAAACGCCTCTACTCTGAATTAGATGCCCATCAACAGAATTTCCCCGTTCAATTTTCTTTCACTAATCGTCTATCAATCAATTGTTTTTGGCAAACTCTTCAATTTCTTTTTATTGGTTCAAAACTCTTCAATTTCCTTTAGCGCTGATTCAAGGGTCGCACTTTCTTTCGGATAACCTTAATCTTTCATTGACTTGAAAATAGAAAAGAGATTCAGAAACGGTAGACTGCTTATGGTTTACTCAATGAAACTGCATTTGTTGGATCAACATTCACCACTCATTTCTATTCAAAGTATTCCATCTTTCTCTTTCTCTACCTCCCTCCCCCACCCGCTTTCGCCTTCTATGGTGAAGCCTCTTCAAAGCCAGATATTTCTTGGAAAATTTATTATAAAGGGTTTTAATTATATTAATATTGAGCTTTAGCCCAGCAATACTACATTATTGCCTTTAGAAGGGCTCAAGTCTATTGCTTTGAGGACTAAAAGTCGAGAGGGAATGCAAACCGCTGCCTCATTATTTTGTGAGAAGACAAATTTACCCCCTCCCCCAATTCGTAAGTTCAAACCCCTTGACACGATGCTGGGCCTTGATAGTGCCCGACATGATGCTTGTTCAAACTCCCTGCTCAACCAAATGTTCAACTTAAGCAATTTTGAATCAATGAGATAATGATGGATTTGTATTCTGCCTTGGAAGCAATTATGTAGGCTCAGTTTCAAAAGAGTACAAATACAAATATATATATATATATATATATATATATATATATAATACATAGAAAATAATACCAAATATAAAGTTTTGCACTCTACATATTTATATTTGTACTCCTTTCAAAGTGAGCCTTAAGAGCTTTAACCCTTTAAAGAGATTTAATCCTGTTAGAGAATAAAAATCTATTTAGCT